CACCTAGATGTTTTGCTTAAAGACATCCTATTGTTACAGCACTGAGCTAGCATAATTCAGTCAGTAAAGTGATTGGCCAAGGGCTGAGTGGCTTTGGCTTGGTTCCTAGTAGGGGCAGACCAACTTCTAGCCCCTGGGTACCTGGAATTCTTTCCAAGGGTATTGCAGCTCAGGTGTGAAGCTGACCTTGCTATCTATCTATCTGCTGCAAAGTGATACACAGTAGGAACACAGTCCCTAGCTATTCCATTGTAGCTGGAAAGGTCTGGTAAGGACCCTGAAAATGAATGGCTAATAGTGCTATAATGAAATCTTGATGAGCCCAGCTAGATGATACTGGATTTTGAACCCACATTCAATGAAACAGCCTTTTGTATGTGCTGTTTCTAATAATTCTTTTCTTTCATTACAGGTGTGAATGATGGACAGTCAGTTCAAGTAGCAGTGATAAGAAATGACAAGGAGACAGTATTACATGTCAACAGTCAGAATGGTTCAATACCAGAAACTGTGCAACTTTTGAGCAATTATTCTAACAAACCTTGGATTAACCCTGATAAAGGTGAAACATTTACTTTGAATTGCAAGAAATTCAGGAAATGTTGAATTTATATAGTTTTGTGTTGCTGGTTAATTTTCTTACTATTTATGTGTGTTTTGATGGTATGTTATAAATAGTATTATATATTTTAACTTGAGTACCTTAATTCTTGAACTGATCTCAAAATATTCTTTCCAACATGGCTTTGTTCTTAATTTTACTATTTGCCTTGTAGGTTTATAACTACTCGATGTCTTCTTCCATTCTATGTTGAAAGCAGTGAAATGTTAAAAATTTATCCACCGAGTTGGACAGTTTTTTTCAACACTGTTTTCTTGCAAAAGCTGACTCAAGTAATATTTATGTTTTATGTTTTGAATATTTGTCTCTGGCCTTACTAAGTCATACTCACTCATTTACCGGCCATATGCCACTATCATCAGTAAGAGATTCTGGCCTACTCAGCATCCCATTTAACCTGTTCTTGCTCACATGCCACTGCGGTTATTCAGAATGAAATGGCGTAGCTTTGTAGATAATATTTATGTGTGTATTTGAAGCATTATTTGTTTGCTTTATTGATATGTAAATAATGGTAATGAGTGAAGAAAAGATGTGTAATTACTAATTTGTAGTGCCCCATAGCCTCACAGTATGAATTGAGGTTATTCCCTGAACTTGACTGTTTGCGTAGAATGCAATGACAGTCATGACAACTTAGCCATTAAAGTGATTTGAACTTAAAGATCATGGTGCTTATGTAATAAAAAGGCCAGAGTATATAAATGAGTTAAGAAATCACTGTTTATGCTTACATCATGCTTTATATCTGATGCACACATTTTCTAAGCCTCCACATTGGACATCACGCAATCTGAATGCTAGAATTAGTCAGGACAAAGTGTAGCATGTGGAAGAGATTGCATGTGTGTGGAATTGCAATGTGTAAATTAGGCTTGTTCATAAGAATGAACAATTTGTATATAGCTGTTTCAGTCTGACCAGTAGTTTTTGGTACTGGTTCATTTGTTTATTTATTTGCATGTGAATTGCATTCTGCTGCATTTCTGTCATTGGTTTTTGATGCTACAAAATTAAAAATTTTGTCAATGACACTGAAAATATTAATTTCCATTTCTGCCCTGTTAATCATCTAAGGTCTGGTTTCTTTTGAATACTTATGATCATCTTTAGTGCATGTTTTTTGTGGGGGATGTTTTGTCTTAATTTTTTATTTTCATAATTTAGAGGTGTTGGCCCCACAGAGACCTCCAGCACCCCCAACTGAGTATTTTCAATTCAACCTGGGAGGTTATGATCCAGATAACCTGATAGCAGGCAGCAGTGCGCTTCCCCTGCAGGGTTACGTGGGCTGCATGCGAGGATTAAAGATAGGTGACCACCTGTTTGACCTCACTGCACAGGTCACCAATGAGTCTAAGAGAGGTATGTAGAGACATCTTTCTGGTTGACTTTTGAATGATCCTACACACTTGGTTTAGTTGGCATAAACATTGGACTACAAGTATTAGGTATTTGTGCTCAAAAATACTGTAAATAATGGAACCACATATTGGCAAAGAACTTACCATTTAAAGGAAGAACTGCTGAAGTGAATACATACAGTCAAATCCCCATTTAATTTATTTGTGTGTCACAATGGGCTTAAACAATAAGATAAGGAACACTTAAATGGGGGGAACTTAATATGGCAGATAAAGGGGCTACAACTACAG